GGCATGACTGCCGAGAGACTGGCACCAGCACAGTGGCACTCAGGAAACCCTGGTGCAGAAGAGAGTCCGAGCTTGGCTCTGGCCCCATCTCTCCTTCTAGCAGCTGGCGCTTTGTCCGGCATAGGCATAGGCAGGGAGCATGGTCCGGGTTCTGTGCCATGGCTCTTGTGGGCCTGTCTCCTCTAGCCGTCATTTCCCCAGCACTGGGAGCAGCTGTGGCACCGCCCTGGTGCCAGCTTTTAGCCTGCCCTGGGCAGGGTGAAACTCTGAGTGGTGCTCTCCGGGCTCCCAAGTGGCCTGGCGTTGAGCCAGGGGAAGCAGAGAGGCCAGCAGCTCAGTGCGGTTGGTTCCCCACTGCTCTGCCCCTCCTGGCTGCCAGGAAGCGTCCCACATCTCTCTTCCCTCCTGCCTCTGCAGGGGCTTCTGCTTCTTCAACTCCGTCGCCATCACGGCCAGACTCCTCCAGCAGAAGCTCAGCATTGGCAAGATCCTCATTGTGGACTGGGTAAGGGAGGCGGCCGGGCCAGCCCTAGATTCCTGCTCCCCTTCCAGGGACTGGCTCCTTATCTCTCCAGCCAGCCCCATCCTCGGCTTGCTTTTGCCCTGCGTGACAGAGAAAGTCGGGGGTGGGGAGAGGGTTACAGCTCAGAAATCTGGGGATCATCCACACTAGTGAATCCGGGGAGGGAAGACACCTTCTGGGATAACTGAGGCTGTGACACATCTCTGAGCGCCAGCCCGGTTAGTTTGTATCCTCAGAAACAGCTGGGAGGCCTGTGGCACCTTAGGGTGTGTCTAGACCACGTGCCTCTGCCGACAGAGGCATGTAAGATAGGCTACCCCACATAGTCAGTGAAGTGGGGATTTAAATATCCCCGGCTTGGTTGAAATAAGAATGGCCGCCGCGCGGTGCCGGCTCAGCTGATTGTCCACACAGCGCGGCAGTCAAGACGTGGATCGGTCGACAGGGGAAGCCTTTGTCCTCCGCTCCCTTCTGCCTCCTGAAACGTCCCTTCTGGGTCGTTACACTGACCCATCTCCCCGCATAGACAGAACACAGGAAGAGCACTGCCATGCGCACAGCTGCTGCCGTGCAGGGCAGGGTGTAGCTGTGCCGTCAAAGGAACACCTTCTGGTGTGGGACGTAGTAGTGAAGTCAGTCCAGGGATTTGCCGAGAAGCAAGCACTTGTCAGTTAACACAGCAGACTGCGCGCATTCCCGCCCTCCCGCCACCAGGACGGTTTTTAGCAGGCTGGCCAGCAGCCTGGTTCAGGGACCTACCCCTGCTGCGGCTCTGCATTTAAAGGGTGCTAGGAGCCAGGCAGGCAAGAGCCTGGCTCAGTTCCAGCTCGTGCCGGGTCTGGGAGCTCAGATCCCCCCCAGGCAGGATCTGCTGCCACCCTGCACTGCTGCCTCTGTATCAGTGCATGATGGGAGCTGGTTTTTAAACTGGCTCCCCTCACAGACCAGCTCCCGCCTGGACCCAGTGCTGCTGCCTCTGATGCAGCGGCAGCCGCGGTCCTCGGGAGGGGGGCCAGAGTGCACTGGCTGCTAGCCTCACCCCTGGGGACTATAGAATAGTTGAGTAACCAATAAGAATTCATGAGATGAATCAACTATTCAATTAACTGATATTTAACATCCCTATTCTGGTGCTTATGGGCATCCCGCTGGCATGGTTCCACCCGCAAAGGCTCTGTAGTGTAGACAGGCCCAGCTTGTGTTCCCATGGAGAGGGCTAGCTCTGTGCGAAAGCCTGGGGGAGGTAGGGCACAGGATATTCACCTGGATTCTTGTCTACACTAGGGACAGAAAATCTGGTTTAACCAGCTAACCGGTTAAGTGTTACGTTTCCCGTGTCGAGTCAGGGGCTGCTCCAGCCCAGCTGAGCCACCAGTTTGCTGGTTACCAGTAAGAACCAGTTAACCAGTTACATTCCCAGTCTGCATTAGCAGAGCACTGCTGCTGCGATGGCCCAGCAAAGCATGTGTGGATACAGCGAGGCTGGCAAAGCCGTGCTGGGTCTAGGGATGTTAGCGCACAGTCGTTTAAATGATTAACCCATAGCCCTGGGCTCGTTAGTTAATCCTAACAACTGTGTCAGAGGCAGCAGTGGAGTGGGGGCGGGAGCCAGTGCCTGTGGAGAGCTGGCTTTTAAACCAGATTTGCGATGGCCCAGCAAAGCATGTGTGGATACAGCGAGGCTGGCAAAGCCGTGCTGGGTCTAGGGATGTTAGCGCACAGTCGTTTAAATGATTAACCCATAGCCCTGGGCTCGTTAGTTAATCCTAACAACTGTGTCAGAGGCAGCAGTGGAGTGGGGGCGGGAGCCAGTGCCTGTGGAGAGCTGGCTTTTAAACCAGATTCCCACATGTGCTCTTTCCTATGGAAGCTGCCTGCCCTCCCATCTTCCCCCACCCCTGACAGCTTCTGATAGAGGCAGTAGCGTGGGGAGGAGGTCGGAGCCAGCGCCCCCGCCGCGGCTGCTTCTGTGCCAGAGGCAGCAGTGGAGCGGTGGGAAGCAGGTAGGAGCCAGTGTACATGGGAAGCAGCTTTCCCGCTGGCTCCTATGGAGCCGCCTGCACCCCACACTGCTGCCTCTTTATCAGGCAGGAAAGCAGAGCACCCTGGACCCGCCTGGCTCCCTTGTGCTGCTCTATGTCCGCCCAAGCCCTGCTTTAGTTAAACCAAGGCAGCTTGTGTGTACACACGCCCCAGTTCCCACCCTCTCCTTCCACCCTAGCCGCCTACCGCCTGAGCATGCCCCTGCTGCCAGAGAGTCTGGCTATCAACCCCCTTCCCTTCTCTCAGTCCGTCCGGGCTCCGACTGCAGCGACCAAGCGCTCTCCCGTGCTGCTTACTCCTCCGAGACACAGGCAGGAACCTCCCTTCTGGTCCCTCTCTGCTCACAGTCCCATAAGTCTCAAAGCCCGCAGGGGTGTGTGACAGACCGGGCCGTGTCTGGGCACAGCTGAGGGCGTCCGCTCAGGGCGAATTGCTCAAATCCAGGGCTCCTTACAGCCCCCAGACTGGTGACCTCTCCAAACAGGCCACAAACCA